TTACCCAAAAAAAAAAAAAAAAAAAAAATATATATATATATATATATATATATATATATATATATATTAGGATAAATTCCAGGCAGTGGTATTGCTGGATCAAAAGGTGCTTACACTTTTAATTTTGACAGAAACTGTCTGATTATCCTCCAGAAAGATTTACCAGCTTATACAGTTGACCCCTGAACAAAGTGGAGGAGGAGAGGATTAGGGCACTGAGGCCCACACACATTCAGAAATTTTTGTATAACTTTTGGCTCCCCCAAAACTTAATAGCCTACTGTTGATTGAAATTCTTGTGGATAACATGAACAGTCAAAATGCATTTTGTATGTTATATGTATTATATTTTCTATTCTTACAATAAAGCTAGAGAAAGGAAAATGTTAAGAAAATCATGGCTGGGCTTGATGGCTCAGCCTGTAATCCCAGCACTTTGGGAGGCTAAGGCTAGTAAATTGCCTGAGCCCGCAAGTTGGCGACCAGCCCAGGCATCTTGGCGAGACCTCGTCTCTACAATAAATAAAAAAATTAGCCATGCGTGGTAGCATGCACCTGTATTTCTGGCTACTTGGAAGGCTGAGGCGGGAGGATCATCGGAGCCCACTGCACTCCAACCTGGGCAATGGAGACTCCAACTCGGAAGGAAGGGAGGGAGGGAGGGAGGGAGGAAGGAAGGAAGAAGGAAATTTTAGTTACTATTAACTGGAAGTGGGTCATCATAAAGTTCTTCCTCCTGGTCATCTTCACGTGTAATAAACTGAGGGGGAAGGGTTGGTCTTGCTGTCTCAGGGATGGCAGAGGAGAAGCGGAGGGGATGGCAGGGGTGACGAGAGGCAGGCACGCTCTATAACTTTTACTGAAAAAAGTCTGCACCCAAATGAGCCTGTGCAGTTCAAGCCCATGTTGTCCAAGGGTCAAGTGCACTTCTATCTCATGTGAATGTTTTCCCTCACCTCTTTATCTCTTTACTAGTATCAGCTATTTTTCTAATATTTGACAGTTTGATAGTTTTTTTAAAATCACATCTTACTGTTTTGAATGAACATCTACAGTATTTTGCCATTTATTTTTCTGCCTATACATATTATCTTTGTCAATTTAAAACGAGGTAATTCAGATGTTTCTTATTCTTATGGGTGAAATAAATCCTTGTGTATTATAATGTTCTTAGTCATTTCTAAGAAAAAAAATAAGGAAATTATCCTTTTGTCATAAAAATTTTTTTAAAGGCTCTCCCAGCATAACAATCACCAAAGTCAGCAATGCTACAGTAGGGGACACTTGGCCCTGTGTTTGGTGTGATGGTGACAACCAGGAGGATGGAACATAGAAGGAAGTCAGTTGAGCATAACAGAAGCCAGGCTTCTCACTATCAGAGAAGGGGGTTACAAATATGGAGAGGGTAAATCTATAATAAGCCCTATTGAATTGAAATTGGAAATACCAGTGTGAGCTCGCGGTTTTTTTATAAGGATAGACAGCTACACAAATGGATATTGTGCTCTACAACTTAACAATATGTGTAAACTTAAAGTTGAATGTTAACTCCTTATCCTTAGAGCTTTCATTTAGCTCTAAAACCAAAGCAAATTTACAAATCAAATACAAATAAAAGCACCAAACCAATGCAATTCAAATTAACATTTAGTGCCGAATGCTCCTTTTGACTGTCTTGCTGTTTACTGTTGGGATACCACTGGTTTTCTGGAATTCCAAGTGCCTATACTGTTCTAGGCACTGATGGTCAATTTTCCCACCATTTTCCTCTACTGGAACGTCTAGAAAATCTTGGTTAGCGCAGTCACCAGGAAACTGGCTTTTGCTTTGACATGGACAGACCATTTCGGTATTAATTCCTCCTCCATTCTTTTCTCATGAGCTTGTGACAAAGTAACTTTGTTCCGTGAATACAAGTGCTGATGTGAGCAATGAAGCCATGAAATCACATGGAAATACATAGCTATAAATAATTATCTAGGTAAGTCTGAGCTTTCTTAAAGTTTTAAATATTCAGTAGTATTATTCACACAAGTCAAAGGGTGGAAGCAACATTAAGTGTCCGTGGACTCTCTTCCACACCAACCTTCAGCTCCAGCCTACTGGTGTCCACCAAACTCAACACAGATCCTCATCTCTTTGACTTGACTTGTGTCTTTTTCCCCTCTGCTTTTATTATCGAATCCCTCCATTTGGTTAAGTCCCTTCTCCTCACAGTGGGATGGTTCCAGCCCACAGCTACCCGCAGCAGAGGGTGGTCAATACACTCCATTTGATAATAGTCACACATTCTAAATGACTTTACCTGACTGGGCATGGTGGCTCACGCCTGTAATCCCAGCACTTTGGGAGGCTGAAGTGGGAGGATTGCTTGAGCCCAGTCTGGGCAACACAGCAAGACCTCGTCTCTACAAAAAAATCAAATAATTAGCTGGGTGTGGTGACACATGCCTGTAGTCCTAGCTACTTGGGAGGCTGAGGTAGAGGGATCACCTGAGCCCAGGAAATCAAAGGTGTAGTGAACCATGATCATGTGAGACCCTGAAAAATAAATAAATAACTTTATCCCTTATACTCCCAGTCATTTAACAAACATCAATGGAGCATATGCCATCCACATGCTAGCCCCTGAATCAACTGCTACATTTTCTCCTTTTCATTTCTCTCATGGCCCTTTCAGAATTGCATATTGCAGTCATATGGATGACATCACATCACTCTGTCCTGTCATATTACATATGAACAACACATTTTAAACTACCAAAACCAAGAATAGTATAATCTCAGGACTTGCCTAAAGAAACAGGATTCTTGTTGGTAGTATTTTTTGGTACCCATGTTAAGAAGCAGTTGTCAGCACAAGAAAGGTTTCAGGACTGAGTTCAACAGGGATTATGTATTTGTAGACCCTAGTTATGGAAGTTTCTACGACGATAGTTGTAATGTTAATTGGTCACAAGTGCCCGTGATCAGAGCATCCAGAACAGGTGCTGTTCCAAGAGCCCTCCTTGAGTATGAGCTACCTGTCAGACATCTGCACAAACGCAAATAACTTTATTCACATGTTAGAACAGTGTTTAAGTAGACAGAGTTTTAAGGACACTTAATACCATCAATTTTTTGATCTCAGATTTGAGTTTTTAAAAAACTATAAACAAGCTGAGTATTTTACTTCTAGAATTCCGCATGTGGTCCACTTCTTTCTGCACAGAGGTAAAATACTCTTTGTATTTGTTTAATTCCCCATTATTTTGCTGTTTCAGCATGATTTTGTACTCTTAGTCATTTCCGTGTTAGTCGAAGTTTACATTTGCTTTCACTCTTAGCCTTTTTGGGCTTCATTTTCTCTCTTTGTGTTCTCGAGCATAGCTTCGAGGTTTAGGGTCATCATTCCCGAGATCCACGATGATCACCTCTTTAGAAAACGTCACTCCTTTCAAAGGTCTTTTTTGGCTTTCAGTAACTGAATGAGTTCTAGTGACAGGTATGGTTGTTTTCTGCAAATCATCATCCTGAAAGAGAATGGGAGAAACAGCATAAATGATCAATTTATGAACATAAGTTTTGGCTTTAAAATGACAGGTTATAGGTATATTGTTAACAAGAAACAGAAAAATCATTTCTTTTTTTGTTTTGTTTTTTTTTAGTTGGAGTCTCGCTCTGTCACCCAGGTTGGAGTGCAGTGGCATGCTCACGCCCACCACAATCTCGACCTGCTGGGCTCAGGCGATCCTTCCACCCCAGCTTTCCAAGTAGCTGGAACTATAGGCATTCACCACCACAACTGGCTAATTTTTAAAATTTATTGTAGAGATGAGGTCTCACCAAGTTTCCCAGGCTGGTCTTGAACCCGTGGGATCAGGCAGTCCTCTCACCTCGGCATCCCAAAGTGAGCCACTGTACCCAGCCAGAAAAATCATGTCTAAATAATATAGGAAGGCATGACCACATTTTCGTGTTTCTATGGTTATAAAAGCATCCACTGACATATTCAAATAGTATTTGGTGACACGTGCTATTCTTTCTATAAAGTGGTCAGATCCAAGAGCCACAGCGCTATTATTCCGTCATAGACTGGGCATGGTCATGGTGAGGGAGGACATGTGAGTTGTCCTTACTAGAGAGTTCCAGACATGGACTCAAGAAGGCCCCAGTCTTGCCATGTGCTGTTGGCAGAAAGGGCACAGAGCTAGTGCAGGACACATGGTCTGGTCCTGAGCTCGGCCACAGTGGAGAGAGAAAAAACTCATCTCATTTTTTCACTGGTAACAGGACAGGGTTGAATCCCTAAGTGATCTCTCAACAGTTCTAAGACCTAAGGATTTTGAGACAAAAACAAACTGAAGGAGAATAATTAAGAAAAACATAGACTGGGCACAGTGGCTCAGCCTATAATCACAGCACTTTGGGAGGCCGAGGCGAGAGGATTGCCTAAACCTGGGGGTTCGAGACCAGCCTGGGCAAGTTGGCGAGACTTTGTCTCTACAAAAAATCACAAAAACTAGTCGGGCATGGTGGTGTGCGTCTGTAGTTCCAGTTACTTGAAAGGCTAAGGTGGAAGGATCGCCTAAGCCCAGCAGATCAAGGCTGCGGTGGCCATGAGTGTGCCACTGTATGCCTGCCTGGGTGACAAGAGTGAGACTCCAACTCAAAAGAAAGAAAGAAAGAAAGAAAAATAAAAAACATAAATGCAAGAATAAACAATGAGCAGGTTTTAGGCTTGGCTTATGTAATGGGTTTAATAACGTGAAACAATAGGCAAAAAGAATGACTTAAACGATTGTAGACATTGGACTCATTCAAGTTACAGACAACTCCATCCCTTATTATACCGCACTGAGTAATTTTCCTCCCTTTCAATCAAACATAAATTCTAAACTGTCCCTTGAAAGTAGAACGACATATCACCTCTTGGCCAGCTTCTTCAGCATTCTCAGGCTCTTGACTCTCTTTTGTTTTGTTCTCTTCTTCTTCCTCTGTGTCCTCTGTGTTTCCTAAAGATGTGGCCAACACTTCCTTACTCTGTCTCTGGACAAGAATGCCAGGCCTCATGGGTGGATTCAAGTTGATGATTTGCATTAGAACCCTGGAAAAATCAGTAACCAGAGTTTTAAAAGTGACTGTTATCTTATCACATACAGAATGGCTATCTGCACCGTCCTAAGATAGACTTACTTTTCATGGTCTCCCGAATTGTTTGTCTCTGCATTCGTAGGTGCACAGCCTCCAACTCTGTCAGCATCTATACAGGCAACTTTTTCTGTCTCTGTATTATTCTTGCCTTGGAAACTGGAAACAAACAAGCACAAGATTGAGAAAAGGAACAATGGCCCTCATTTTAAGGCCTGACATAGAAATTTCACTTTTAAATAGGAAATTAGCATTACTAAACTCTGAAATGGAAAAAGTAGATAGCTATGGCAGTACGACTTGTTCTATTTTAAAATGGCTTTATATTGCTTCTAGATATATTTGCTCGTGACTTGAAATCTGATCCCAATTAACCAGCATGGATTTATACCATTTATATAAAAAAACCACCAACAAAAGGAGGATCAAAATGAAGCAAATGAGAAGGATGATGAAGAAAGTGATTGCCGTGGCTTCAAAGCTCATAGGTTTAGCTCGAAGACTCGTCCACAGATTGTCCAATCACAGATTGCCCAAATATCCCTTTCCAGCTCAGTTTGAATGTAGTTCTCTTGTTCTTCAAGTTTTCTAGAAACAGAAGAACAAAAGGCTGTTTTCATTGTTTTCTTGTGATGGGTTCCGCTTCATAAAAGGTGAAGAACAAGCTCTGCTGAACTCAGTGGTGTTGACTCACACTGGCTAATTTCTCTGCATTGATGTGGTGGGGGCTGGGGTGGCCCGAGGGGAGACTGAGCTGGGGCACGTGTGACCACTCAGCTCATCTCCCCTCACCCCGAAAACAACCAGAATCCAGAGGCGAGAGGAGTTGGAGCAGCTGGAGCTGAGCCCAGCTCCCCGTTCTTCTCTCTTCAGTGACATCATAGAGTCATGGAGCCCTGAAGGTAGAGACCAGAGCCCCAACCAGCCCATCACCTGGAGGCAGACACCCACTTGGCTGTCACCTGTTGTTCTCTCCTCGGAGATGTCCAGGGGGGAGGTCCCATGGCACTGCCTTGACCCTTCTTTGAACAATGATTTTCTTCCTACTCTCAAGCATCATTTTCCCTTTCCTAACCGGAGCCTGTTTCTTTCATTGCTTCTTTCATAAACCAGGAACAACTGGCCAACTTCCTTCTTACGGAATCCCTCTCTATAGCCCCAAGGTCAGGAATCAACTTACTTGCTAACAGCAGTGGTGTTCTCTCCAGGCCAAATAGCCCAGGTCCTTCTAACCCTGCCTCACTGGACCTACTTTCTGGATACACAAGAAAAGTGGCATCTCCAAAGGCCACGGCTGAGGAAGCAGAGTAGCACGTGATGATCAGAGCGAAGACGACCCCCCTGGCCTGACCTAACTTCAGGTAAGAATGAGTGATGCCCATGACAAGGAGGGAGAGGGTGGAGCTGGAATTTTCTGAAAAGAGATAGTTCGTTTTCTGTTACTATAACAGAATACCACAGACTAGGAAATGGGTAAAGAACAGAAATTCCTTTCTCACAGTTCTGGAGGCTAGGAAGTCCAAGATCAAGGCACTGCAGGTCAGGACCTAGCCTCCCTCCCTTCTAGATGGTGCCTGGAATGCCCGTCCTCTGGAAGGAGGGAACGCTATATCCTCACATGGCAGAAGAGCAGAAGAGAGCGAACCCACGCCCCAAAGCCCTTTTTACAGCAGCTTTAAGGGCAGAATCCTCAAGACATAAACACCTCCCAAAAGGCCCCACCTCCTGACACTGGCCTTGAGGATTGAGTTTCCAACATGCAAATTTTGGAAGAGACACATCAAATTATAGTGGGGGGTCTTTGGGCTGCAATGATGTAGGTTGTTCTTCAGTAGGGCAGGGACTGAAGTTCCTTTATCTTTGGAGACTCCACTAAGTCAGGAATGGCCCATTCCATAAATGTTGAATGAATGGGGTGTGTGTGTGTGTGTGTGTGTGTGTTTGTGTGTGTGTGTGTGTGTGTGTGTGTGTGTGTGTGTTTGTGTTTATGTGCATGTGTGTCTATAAGCACAAGCAGAGTTTGTTGCAAGGCTCAGGTCAAGGCTGATTTTGCAGAATATGTGAATGTCTGAGACATTTCTGGCAGTAAGCAGAATTCCTGGATGACTCCCCTCTGGCCAAGGCTCCCAGGTAAAGATTCAGATCCCAGCTGGGCACGGTGGCTCAGCACTTTGGGAGGCCGAAGTGAGGGGACTGCCTGAGCCCACAGGTTCGAGAATAGCCTGGGCAACTTGGTGAGACCTCATCTCTATAATAAATCAAAAAATTAGCATGGTAGCACACACTTGTAGTTCCAGTTACTTGGAAGGCTGAGGTTGAAGGATCACCTGAGCCTAGCGGGTCGACACTGGGGTGGCCATGAGTGTGCCACTGCACTCTAGCCTGGCTGACAGAGTAAGACTCCAACTAAAAAAAAAAAAAAAAGATTCAGAACCCAACTCACACTCCTTATTGTACTCTACTGCCAGTATGAAGTATTATGAGCCCAAATTTGTTCATATGTCACGTGCATATAAAGACTTTTTCTTGGGAGATGGAAATATTTATATTGATTTAATGGTAGTTACACAGGTATGGGCAGTCCCCAACTTAATCATGGTTCTACTTAGGATTTTTACAATGGTGTGAAAGCAATGCACAGTTGGTAGAAATTGTGCTTCAAATTTTGAACTTTGACCTTTTCCCAGGCTAGTGATACTCTGTACAATACTCTCTTGTGATGCTTGGCAGTGAACTGCATCTCCCAATCAGTCATGTGACCATGAGGGTAAACAAATGATAGTGTACTCTGCAGTGTATTGTATTCAGTACATTCCATGAGATATTCAGCACTTTGTTATAAGATAGGCTTTGTTTTAGATAATTTTGCCCAACTGTAGGCTAATGTGAGTATTCTGGGTACTATTTTTTTTGGAGTTGGAGTCTCACTTCCTTGTCCTGGCTGGAGTGCAGTGGGACTCCATCCCAGTTGACCTGCTGGATTCCAGCGATCCTTCCACCTCAGCCTTCCAAGTAGCTGAAACTACAGACGCACGCTACCACACCCAGCTAAGTTTTTATTGTAGAGACGAGGTCTCGTCAAGTTGCCTGGATTGGTCTCAAACCCATGGTCTCAGGCAAGCCACTCGCCTTGGCCTCCCAAAGTGCTGGGATTACAGGATGAGCACTTTTAAGGTAAGCTAACCTATTATGTTCAGTAGGTTAGGTGTATTGAGTGCATTTTCAACTTACAATAGGTTTATCAGGATGTAACTCCATCGTAAGTCAAGAAGCATCTATGTATATAGTCATGTGCTGTATTAAGATGTTTATGTTAACTGTAATCCTCATATACACTGGTGATCCCATAAGATTATAATACCCTTTTTTTTTTTTTTGGAGTCTCACTCGGTC